AACCGGGAGGACATACAGGCGGCCCTCGTCATAAGATGAGGAATGTCCTGAATGCATATTGTTTTCCCACCATCACAAAGTCAAAAAATCATAAAGGGAAACATTGTAAGTCAGGGACCATCTATATAGACAGGTATAGCTAGATAAAAGCAGATTTATTGGGAGTTGGCTTACAAGATTGTGGAGACTGAGAGGTCCCAAAACATGCCATCTGCAAGCTGGAGAAGCAGGAAAGCCAGTGGTGTCACTCACTCTGAGTCCAAAAGCCTAAGGACCCAGGGAGTCAGTGGTGTAACTCAGTATGAGGAGCTGCTGCTGTGAATACCACAGTCCAACGGCCTGAGAACCAGGAGCTCTGTCTGAAGGCAGAAGATCGCTACCTCAGAAAGCAAGCTTTCTCCACCTTTTTGCTCTATTCAAGCCCTCAATGAATTAAATAATACCCACCCACTGTGGTAAGGGCAGGTTTTTTTTGTTTGTTTTTTTTTTTTTTTTAAATTCTTTTTAGACAGTGTCTCACTCTGTTACACAGGCTGGAGTGCAGTGGTGCAATCATAGCTCATTGCAGCCCTGAGCTACTGGGCTCAAGTGATCCTCCTGCCTCGCTTGATAAGGGCTGCATGTGCACACCGCCATGCCCAACTAACTTTTCTATGTTTTGTAGAGACAGGGTCTTGGTATGTTGACCAGGCTGGTCTCAAACTCTGGGCATTAAGCGATCCCCCGCCTCAGCCTCCCAAAGCACTGGGAGTGCAGGCAGGAGCCACCATGCCTGGCTGGCAAATCTTTACTCAGCCTATGGATTCAAATGCTAATCTCTTCCAGAAACACCCTGAGAGACACACCCAGAAATAATGCTTTACCAGCTATCTGGGCATCCCTTACTGTAGCCATATAAAACGTTGTGACATTAAATAACTATCACACTGGGTAAGAATTTTAGATTGACAGGTTTTTTCCCAGTACTTTAAAGATATCGTTTTGCTATCTTCTTGATAGCAAAATAAGAAATTTGCTATCATCCTTGTCATTTTTCTTCTGTATCTAATGTGTCTTTTTAAAATTGCAAACTCAGGTTGTTTTTAACATTTTCTTCTTATCACTTATTCTGAGTATTTGGTCCAGGAGGAATTGTAAGACAACAGTAGAACACAGTGTAAAAACATTTTTTTTGAGATGGAGTTTCACTCTTGTCACCCAGGCTGGAGTGCGGTGGTGTGATCTCACCTCACTGCAACCTCCACCAGAGTAGCTGGGATTACAGATGCTCCCCACCAAGGCTGGCTATTTTTTTTTTTTTTATTTTTTTTTATTTTTAGTAGAGACGGGGTTTCACCATGTTGGCCAGGCTGGTCTCGAATTCCTGACCTCAGGTGATAGTAAACTCATTTCTACATTCAGCATGTGCATTTACAGTTTGAATTGTATCCCTTCCCCAAAATATATGTTGAAGTCTTAACCCCAGGATCTCAGTAAGTAACTTTATTTGGAAATGGGATATTTACAGAGGTAATCAAGTTAAAATGAGGCTAGTAGGGTAGGCCATAATCCAACGACTGCATCCTTATAAGAAAGGGAAATTCGGATACAAGACAGATATGCCAAGGGAAGAAGATGTGAAGACACACAGGGAAGAGACAGCCATGGTACTGGAACACTGCATGTATAAGACAAGGAAGGTCTGGAACTACCAGCAAAAACCAGAAGCTGGGAAGAAGCAAAGAAGGTCTATCCCTTACAGGTCTCAGGGGGAGTAGGGCCCTGCTCATACCTTGATTTCAGACTTCTAGGCTCCAGAAATGTGAGATGATACATTGCCATGCCTGACTTGTATGTTTTATACCATCCAGTTTAGGTGCTTAGCAACCCTAGGAAATTAATACATGCGTGTTTCATACATGTGTTCGATTTGGAGCACTGCACAGGTCTCACTCACTCAACCTCCCTCTGCACAAGCAAGTTACAAGAATTCATCAGGACCAGCAATCCACACCAGGGGTACAGCATGCCAGGTTCGGAGTCCTGCTGGCCCTCCCTTATTCCACTTCATCAAGTGCCTTGTTGTTTGAGCGAATTGCAAGGTTTGCTAGACTGGCTACTGGAAGATGGTGGCTGCTGCCTCAGTGAATTTTTAATGCAAAGGGACTGGTCTCTGAAACCAGGGAACCACCAAGTTCAGTCCAGGCCAAATTGCCAACCTTCCCAATTGTGAGCTAAATAAATGGTTGTTATTTTAAGTCACTATGTTTTGGAATGGCTTATTACACAGGGAAAGATAATAGGGCCCTCTAATAATGCTTGCCTTACTATTTGTATATTTCTCATGTGAATGCATTTATCTCCTTTTGTACTTGAATGAGTTTGGCTGAGTATACAATTGTAAGTTGGCAGTTACTTTCTGTCAGTTCACTGAAACAGTTTTCTACTGTCTGCTAACACAGTTGCTGAGATCTGTTGTCAGACTAATTATAATATCTTTGTAAGTATTCTTTTTCTCTGAATATTTACTGCTGATTGATACACTAAAGTTTCACACTGATGCATCCAGGGTGTGTGAGTGTGTGTATGTGTGTATCCTGTCTTGAAAATGTTTCCTTCCTCATTCGGAAGATACATATTTCTTTTGTTAAGTCGGTAAATTCTCTATTTTCTCTTTAAGTATTGCCTCACCCTCTCTATTTTCTTCTTCCAGAACTCTGTATTTCTCTCTCCCCTACTCCCTTTTTGCCTTCTGAGAACAAGGTTTAATGATGACTCAGAATTATGATTATAATCATTTTTAAAGTACTACCAATTCTACCACACTGTGTAGGAATTACTGACATTTTCCCCCTTTAATTTCCGAAAAACCAAAGTGACTAACCATACCTGGACTTAGCTGAGGAAGTGAAATGCATTTCCTTATTAATAATTACCACAGAAAAGCACACTTAGCTTACATTTCAAGTTGTCTTCAGTAAAGTCCGTTTTGCTTGCAATAGCTGTATTTTCCTGATTGCTCTTCCCGGAATTCTGTTCTCGGTAATAGACAAGACGTGAAAAAGTCTTGCTTTTCCCTTTCTGTGCCTTGGGAGCGTCTGGCCCGAGGAAGCCTTGCAGGTGAAGGCGATCAGAGGCGTAATGGGCAATGTAATAGAGCTCTGCATGGCAGCTGGGCTGAGAATTTCCACTCCTGGTTTCTTTTGCTTTCACCTGGGAGATTTACCCTAGTCTTTTTCTTTTTCCCTCTTTACCTGACAAAGTAAATGTTTTCTCAGCTGAACATGTGAGTGTGGTTTCCAATCCTGAGATGTAGAAGTAGGCCCAAGTCGCCGCATCACCCAAGGGCCGCGCCCACACGCCTGTTCTCACAGCTTTCTCCTCTGTGCTGGTCCGGACCTCCGTGGCTCCCATGCTTCTCTCCCGATGCCAATGAGGCCCAAAGGCGAAGGGGAGGGAGCCCAGCGCTGGCGACCTCATCCCCGGGCTAGCCATGTCTTTTAATTCCTTTCATTTCTTATTATCTCAGTGCTGCATTCTGGCTTTAAAAAATCTGGCTTTATTTCCTCTTCATCTGTATCCCATCTGTTTCACTCTTCCATTGAAATTATTAAACTATTTTATATCTAGAATTTTTAATTTTGCTTATGTCCAACCTTTCCTGTTTGTCCTTTAGTTTTTATGTTTGTTTGCTTTTTTCAAGTAGAATTGATAATTTTTAAAATATGAAAACACTGAACTATTCTCAAAACCCATTATGAATTATAGTATCTCTCCACTTCTTGCTATCTAAATCTACATTATAAAAACAAATGAATAATTCGGAACTAAGCATCCAAGAGAGTGAAATATTCTGTTACTTAGTTTTCCTTAATAAGACTTTTAATTAGCTTTGCCATACCTTAGATACTAAATGTATGAAGAATAAAAGTAAAAAGCCAAATGCTAATCTTGTATCACTGCTTGTCTTGAAACCTCCATATACCACTTGGGAAAAAGTAGGAAGGCAGTTTCTATTTCTCTCGTTTTATGACCTAAAATATAAAATCCTGAAAACCAGGTAGCTCATAACGATTAATCTTGGAAGAAGAAACAGATTCTGAAAGCAGGTCTTCAGTTGGGTTGAAGAAAAAGCACTCTCTTTTCTGTGGGACCTTCTGACGATTTGGTCTCATCTTAGAATTCTAAAGATTCTTGAGTATTTCTGGTGGCATACAGCAAGTTAGCTCTGCCATGCAGGCCAAGTGAGAGCCTTGTGACTGTTGGCTCTTGTAATAATTAGCAAGTTATTTGTGTGATATCTCTCTTATTACTGAAATCTCTGTAAAGTCATGACAAATCATAGTTTTAGAGCAGTGCTCTCTTCCCAGGTCCTGAGTGGAAGGAGCAGTGGTTCTCCCATGTGGAGGGCAGCTGTGATCTCATGAGGATGATGAACACAGAGAAAGCCGTGTTGGGGGAAGAGGAGGAACCAGAATATGAGAAACTTACTCCTGGCCCTATGTGAGAAAGCACCTTAGTGAACTTTCAGAAAGAGCAAAGAACTCTGGAAAAATAATTTCCAGTTATAAATCAGGGCTTGAAGCCACGGCAACTTAGTTATTAAAATAGATCTGACCTGAATTTGCAGTCAACATCTAGTGAGGATGGGATGGGATATTTGTCTCAAAACATAAATGGTATTTACTAGTGGTCCTAGGTTTTCTGTATTCCAACTAGGAAGACGTGAATTCAAACCACTGAAGAAACTATAACTATAAATAACTTGGGACATATGTTCCATTATTAATTGAAAACATATAGTTAATAAACTTTGGGAAGGAAACTTTCAGATACATGGCATGGAATATGAAGGTGATGTTCTTTTTATAAATGTTAAAGGTAGCACATATTATATGAATTACTCAAGAGTTTACAAGCAGAAAAAAAGGATGAGAAAACAATAAAACTCATGTGCACCCTATATTAACATGTTAATTCCTAGTGAAATGTGTGAAATATAAACACATGACTTTCACTTGTTTTCACTTTATGCTTTTTAATAGAAATTAAATTAGTCACTTAATGTACATAATGCAGTGTTTGTTTTCCAGTCTAGTAGCTTTTCAACATTCAGTTTTCAGGCTCATGGGAAATGTTACTCAGCATCAAGATGTGATTTGATGAGTGAACAGTGTATCAACTGTACTTAACAGAAGACAGAAGGGGCTGGGGCTAATCTGCAGCTAACGACATATAAAAATAAAAAGAAACACAGACGCACAATAACATCAACATGCATTATTAGGCAAAGATCCCAAATTAACACAACCCACACAGATTTCTTCTAAGCGGAGATTATGCATGGAAACGGATACTTTATCAAGATCCATAGACATAGTAGTAAGGTTCATCAGGGCGGAATCCATATGCTGTGACAGGGCGTCCAAGAATGCCAACTGGTTGGCTGAAGCCATCCATTCCAAGGCTAAAAAAGAGAGAAAGGAATGACAAGCTACGTTTTTCATCACACATCCACAATGCAGGTTAAGTAAGAGGCATAGATTTTTACACCATCAAGATTCTCTTCCTGGCAGAGATAGTGATTTATGTGGATATCATGAATTTTTTTCTTAAGGTTAATAGAGCCATTAAAAGTGTGTATAATAAAGTACTTCTAATAATTTGTGTTAAAAGTATGGGAAACCTCTGTCAGTAGGTACTATTCTAAACAGAGTGGAAGAATCAAGTCAGAAAAGTTTTATTTAATAAATTACTTATATATGGCTCTTAAGCAAAACTATGAAGAGATTTTACATGCTAGCAATGATCAGTAATATATTGCTAGGGAATAATAAAGGTAAAACTGTAATAAAGTACCATTTATAATGTCTTTTCATATGAAGATATAGGCTAATTCCACTTTTAGTAAAAGCACGTGTTTGAGTAATAGCCGTAAACTCTCATGCAGGGCCAAATCATACCATAAGCCCATGATTAAAAGAACAAGATAAGGAATTTGACAAAATTTGAAAATTAGTCAGATTTGATCTGCAAATCCTTCCTCTGATTCCTCAATGCAAACAATTACTAAAAGTATATATTTCTTTTGAGTGACAGCAAGACAACTGTGGTTCAACTTATTCTGTGGAAATAATAGAAACTCAAAAGATAACATTTAGAATTGTAAAATATGTTAAACTTCAGGATTATTATTTTTAAAAGATTATTTTTTGGTCTATTAATACATTATTTAGAGGAAAATCTATTCTTCAGAGCCATTTTTAAAGGTCAGAGAATTATCCAACACTTAGAAAAATGACAAAATATTTATTTTGCCAGGCAGAATATGGTGGCCTTAACATGCTCATGCATAGCTCATGCAGTGAATGCTAGTGAGCTTGACTTCCAATCAAAGGAAACCATTTGTAATGCAGAAATGTAAACTTTGAAAAAATAAAGTATGTTTAAATGATTTGAGTTTGCACTACATAAGGAGATGGAAAAATAATTTTCTCTCAATAGCAAAAGCTGAATATGATTAAAATATATATTGACATAGGCACTAACTTCCTGTCACACTCAGAGTGAGATTAAGTTGACACACTTTGGAAGTAACTATTAAAACGTTAAGGTTTTTAAATAAATGTGTGTATATGCATGTGTGTGTGCACGCGCTTGTGTGTATTAAGATGGAACTAAAGAGTAAATGAAAAGAGCCACAGTATATATAACCCATACTGGTCTGGTGACTCTACCCTTTAGGCAAATGGAAGTTCTGAAATACAAGTTTCAGGTTAGCTTTTGTACTGAGTGATCCTGGACAAAATTTATTGTTTTGGGCTCCTTCATCAAAACTCTGTTTATAGTTTCTCAAAGTTGGTTGAAATTTTTAACTCTGCATTTTATTTTGAAATGGCAAAAATATAAGCACCTTTTCTTTGGTCTCATGGGAAGAGAGACTAAATTTTGTGATAAGGTAATCAAGAGTAGCTTAAAAGATGTTTCAGAAATTATTGGAGTCAGTGAACTAAGAGTCACCAGTATCAGCTTAAAATTAGAGAAGTTATTGAAAACTTTTCTCTGCAAGCACTAAGGCTAACAAGTAATCATATATCTAAGAACTCTCAATTATGTAACTGTTGATTATATTTTTTGGATTTCAACTTGTTCCTTCTTTATCTTTCTGCTTATTACTGTCTTCAACCAATCCTTATCTTTTTTTAGCAACTCTTTTGAGGTCAAACAGCAGTAAACTTAGGTTAAACTCAAGTTAATCTTATGCTTGTTTCTCAATCTAGGGGCTAGAGCAAGATCTCTTTCAATAATTTGAAAACAAGAGGCATATGTGGGACAGTGAGGAAACATGCAAAGGCAACTTCAACACAGAGTATGTCACAGACGACTTGTTAGCAGTATCACTTGATTCTATCAAAAGAAGACAGTCCTCAGAAGGGAGTTCACCGGTTCTTGGCACAGAACAAGGAACCTCTCAGCTACAATGCTGGTTGTAGCAATCCAAGCAACTGCATGGTGATCTGGTGACTAACACCATAAGGAGTATCTGGCCTTTTTTGCAGGTTGGTTCTCATTCAGGAAGGGGATTTAACATTCTCAGAGTCTGAGGCCATTCTACATTCAACTTGCAAAATTCTCCCATTTCTATTTCTATGAATAATAGGCAAAATATTGATCATTGTTTTCCCAGGTAATTTGCCAACAGGGTAAATAATACACTTAGATATTACCTAATCCACCTGATGGCTATAACCTTCATTGTACAGTAACAAATGGATATTGTTTTTTCTTTTTAAAAGATGTCATGCACATTGTTGATAAGAATCTACAGCCCCAAGTCGGTGAAAGACTGACCCTCGAGCACTGATGAGTCTGAATTTCTGAACCTGTAAATCTCTGGCCTTGAACAGTAAGGTCTTTAGGTTACTATGGTAAAGATCTATTTATACAGTCAATAGTTCACCTAAAGACATCTGTGTGTATTACAGTGTAGAGGACATCATTCGATTTTTTGAATTTCTATATACAAATATCATTTGGGGAAAAGGAATAAAATTTGAAACCAAACTCTAAAATGATCTTTTCTAGAATTCTTCATGTATCACAGATGGACTTGCTGTTTAAAAAAAATTTTTTTAAACATTATGACCAGTTTGGAGAGTACTTTGACACAGGTCCTGGGTCCTTCTGTATTATGAAAAATCAACTATATCTACAGAAATAATATATTTTTAATTAAATTCACTGTGAAACATAATAGTTTGTTTCTTTAATCTCTCTTACTTGGTTCTTTCTAATACAATGGGGGGAAATTAGGCTTTCCAGGATGCTAAAACCTGGAGATATTCTGGTGGAATATGTAGATATAGATACTTTACTTTTTTCCCTGGAAAAAGGATATAGCCTTGGTAATGCTGAGTTTAGTTCAAAACCTGGAGAGTTTTCCTTTAAACAGTAGCAGACAGATTCTTCATGTAGGTCCTTGAAGGAGACAGAAACTATGAATGTTAAAAGGCAGTGCTGCTGCAAAGATTGTGCTTTCCAGATCTGGAAAGACTTGACTCAAGCAGTGTGTCACAGGAACTTGCATGCCCTCGCTAGGGGCCCTGAGAAGCAAGGGAAACTAAGCTATAATAACATGCCACATCTGCTCTTGCCTTATGTGATCATTTTGCTTCAGAAAACAGTTTGTATATTTGGTTATTTATGAGTACATTGGAATTAATCCAATCTTGTAGTGTGCGTATCTCTGTATGTACGTATTTTCTTCCTACTACTCCTAACCCACATAAAAAGTGGTGTGTACCTCTAGATTAGTATATGCCACTATTATAGTACCTTTTCTTTACAGGATTAGTTAGTGTCATTTCACCTTAATCCTTAATGTTCAGAAAACATATTTTGGACCTTTAAATTACCAAAATACAATGTCTCTTGCTGAAAATACATAATTCTGCCCCAAAGAAAATGGTTCTTGTTTATTGTGAAAGGATAACTAGGAAAAGTAAGGCCAAAAAGTCAATGCCATTACATTTTATTTCCTAAGAAAAATGATTTTTGGGTCCTTAGAAAGAAAAATGACACATTCTTTAAGAGAGAAAAATTATATTTAAAACCCAACAAGTAGAAAACCACATCTAGAGTGTGTTTTTTAAATAAGCAAATTTAGAAATCTAAATAGCATTCAGCAAGCAGAAGACTGATTTTTCTCTAATATTTACAGGACTTCAAACACATTTTTAATAGCAATCATTATAATTCTAAACTTGAGATGATTCAGAGCAGGAAAAAGGAAATCTGGAAATGACAAGTGATGCTTCACATGCAGCACATTACAAGGGAATGGCAGCCAGTAAAGAATCCCAGGCACTCACAGGCTCTTATTAAATTTCTGTGCCAGAGTTGACATTCCTGTAGAAAGAGAAGAAAATCACCTACCTCTGGCTGTTTGTGAGGCTTAATTAGTGCATATTTGTAAAGCACTTTGAAATCCTTGGATGAAAAGTGCTGCATAAGTGAAAAGTATCATTATTTTATTAAAATGAGATAAAAGCAACACAAGCCTTTTTCTTCTTTGAAATTCCTAAGTCAGCAATATCAACGTAGAGGAAGTAATGAATTTATTAGTAAATGGCTACAAAAAAGAACAAATGCAGGCCAAATTATTTTTTCATAGGCTCATGGAAATCTTTGACTTGGCAACATTTTAAGAAATAATCTTGACTACACTTTTATTCACAACATCCTCGACAAGGTCTATCCAGCTCTTGTCTAAACACCTCCAGAAAGGAAGTGTTCACTACTTTGTCAAGGCAGTTCATTCCATTTATGGATATGTAAAACTGCTGGAAAGTTCTTTACGACACATCTCTAAAATGCAGTTCAATTAGTCTTAGAATTACCCACTGAAACCACACACAGAGTCTAATTCTTCTGTGATGTGACTGCTTCACAACCCTCGTTTACTCAAGCCCCATTACATGGTCTTAAGTCTTCTTTACCATCTCATTTGCTCTCTGAAATCAGTTCCATTTTCTAGTGTGTGTCTTCAAATGAAGAAGCTAAAATTAACATAATACTTATGACGTGGTCTGAAATCAGTATAGAATATAAGATCCTATATCTGACCTTATACTATTGTAGGCTAAAACTGTATTGACCTTAAACAAAAATGTTAAGAAGACATTATCACATAGTAGCCTAATATTGACTGCTTATAATTGACTGTGTATATATGTGTGTATATATATACAACATTGAGTTGTATATAGTAATATTGAATTATACAGTTATATGTAACATTAAGTTTTATATATAATTGTGTGTACACACACACACACACATTCAAAAATTTACTTATAACTACCATGCTGAATTTCATCTTTTTAGTCTGAGTTTGTCTTTAGGAATTCTATTCATCCCAAGACAAAATCATTTATGACTACATATATATAAATAGGTAACAGTGAT